TTCTTAAATTTTAGTAACGAAAAAAATTATTAGATGACACAATAAACTACAGATAATAAAACTGAAGACAATGACTCTTAAATAAAATTTGAAGAATACTACTTGTGACGTTGACTTTTGCGACAAAAATCCACAGTATCGATAAATACCGACCCAGATGTTATTCAATTTCATCTAAAAAGATGATATTATTTTATAAACACGAAGTCTTAATACATTTTAGTGTGAAAAAAATATTATGAATTTTAATTATTATTAGTGAATTCATTTTTTCATTTATATTTTTTATTAATTTACTATTATTTAAATATTAATTAATGTAATAAAAATTTATAATCTATTTATAATAATATGTAATATATATTAAAATCTAATTTAATTATTATAATATATAATATATAACTAATTAAATTATTTTAATTAATATTTAATGAACAGGCCTGCCCAAATCCTACCTTTAAACAGTGAAATAGACCTTTTTCTGCATTGGAAGGGTGGCCTGCCTGTATTAATTGAAGTTTTAGGTGTTAGGGATGCTAATCCATACCAATTGCGGTGTATTTATGTAAATTCCTCTAAGATTTAATTTAATTAAAATAATAAACAATATATATTAATTAAATTATTTTAATAATATTTAAATGAAAACGACCCCAAAAAACAAATTTTTACAGACAATATTAATTTTATGATTTGTTATTTAATAATTATTTAACGACTAACTAGCTTATTTGACTCCTATTATTGGATGATTTACATGCATGCCACTCAATTTGTATGTAAAAGTTAAGACGTTTAGGTGTTACAGATGTAAATATATAGGAATTGGCTGGTATGTATGCAAATGTGGAAATTATATTTTATATTTCATAAGTTTAGCCTGACTCCAGCTGCGGGCAAAAGCAGCAGGCATTCAATTAGGGGAATTGATGCCTTGCACGTTGTAAATCCAAACAAATTAATTGCAAGTTAGACCAACCATTCCCTCACCCAAAATAAGCCCCACAGAATAAATCTGGACCGTGCACTCCACCTTCCCAAAAATAAAGAAAAAAGTTTTTTTCTCAATCATTCAATTTTGCTTTTATAATTAATGCACCGAACTAGCTTGATGTTTGATCCTTATTTAGGAGAAAATAGTACAATAGATTGGGCCGTCAAAACGGCTCGTTGTTCACGAATAATTTTTGTTCGACTAGTTAAAAGCTCGTGTTTGACTCGTTCACTCAGTTAATGAGCCAAACACGAACAAAGATTTGTTCGTACGTGTTTGACTCGTTGTAGCTCAAAATACCACTAATTAATGATATATATATGGATGAGTGATATTTTAAAAAAATTAATTGAGTACAAGACTAGAAAAATTTATAATCAATTAAAAGTATTAATAAAGAAAATAGAATCAAAATTATTAGATTAGATTCAAATTATGTTTTAATATAAACAATAATTTTTAAATATTATCCCCAATACTTAAAATCTTATGCCACGTGATTAGGGTTGTCAAAACGATTCTTTGTTCATGAACAGCTCGTGTTCGGCTCATTAAGCAAACGAGCCGAACACGAACACACTTTTTGAGCTCAAAATATAAACGAGCCGAACACAAGCTGAACCTGGGCTCGCTCGTGTTTGGCTCGTTTACACCCCTAACAATAGGAGTCTAGATGTAATTTCATGTGCGGTTGATAATATTTAGGTGTTATTAGTAGTATTGTGGTATTTTTTTACCAAAATAACACCACAATACTACCAATAATACCTTCAATAACAATATCTACACTAAGTCCGGATGTAATATTTTTTCCTTATTTAGGGCTAATTTTATCGCATGTTTCTGAAAGTAAAATATTTTTTAAATTGATGATGTCATCTTCGCGGTTTAATTTAGAACTTGAAATTATTTTGAGAAAATTTATTAAATTTGAAGTCAGGGGTGGGAACAGTCCCATCATTTAGGGAGGGGCAAACTAATTATATAAATAAATTAATTTTATGAAACATAATAAAGTGATTAGTAAATAATTGAAAATATAATGATTTGACTTAAGGAGCTTAAGTACAAGCTTTTTAAGATGTTTGATTAATGTTCCATATTGATTTAAAATTCAATATAAATTACAACTAAGAACTTTGAGCTGAAAAGTTTGTTATTAGTTTATTGTAGATAAATGGGCGGTATATATGTAAATGCATAGGAATTGGAGGCTATGTATGCAAAATTTGTCCCCAGAAAAATAGGGATTGGGCTGTATGTACGTAAATGCTATTGGGTAAATAGCATTCCGTTTCCAGGTGGAAGGTGGAATTAGCTTTAGTCCCACATTGTATGAGATATGTATTTATGCTCTTTAAATTAGGATGCAAAGCCCTTAATTCAATTTGGTCTATGCACCATTTGACTTTGAAGGTTGAAGTGAGCTTTTAAAACATAAAATAGCGATTAGAAAATAAATTTAATTATATGGCATTAAATGTTTGACTTCTAATAAAATTTTGACTTCCATTATGTAATTAGAGTTATAAAGTTATGCTTTTGTCTTTAACTAGAGATTATGAGGTTTCAAAATTATTAAAACTTATATATAGTTAGAATTATAATGATCAAATAACTATGGCTTGGAGATAATAACTTCATTAAAATAATAATATGGTTGTAGTTAGGCTATAATAGCTACTAGTAGTGGTTAGTACTATAATCGATGGTTGTTGACTTGAAAATTTCTTCTATGGCGTGGACTTTGCTCGCTTCACAGCTTCTCATGTGAACAATAAGTGCTATTTTATAAAACTTTAAGAGGGATGTTTTTTTGTAAATTAGTCAAAATTCTATCAAGAATATTACATTGAATATTTCGTGTCATTTTTTTTTTATCAGTGATCATTCATTCAATATTTAAGTGCCCTGATAATTTAAAAATTAAATGGTATTAGGCTCATTTGATTCATCTTATCAAACTATTCAAATTGATTATAAGTATGCCAAATTTAGAGATCATTTAGCCCCTTAATTGATGCTTGTAAGATTCTAATTATACTTCTAATGTTTAATTTAGGCTCACTTGGATTTAGATGGGATTACTTTACTATCGTTAGATTCATCATATGTTAGACTGATGGTCTTGAATTTATTAATAATGTTTATTTAATATCTTCTATTTTTAATCAAAATTTTAGAATATATTTCATACAACATTATTTGCAATTTTAATAAATCTAAGAATATTATAAGTAAAATATTTGTACTATAGTTTGATTATTAAAATTTGACTTTTTCTTGTATACTAATGAAGTTGGCAGAAACAATATTATTCTTGGATTAATTGTGATCACATATATTATTCGAGTATTGCATGCGATGATTGTTCGGGTCAAAATTATTTAGAAAAAAAATTTCTTGATGGATTGATATCCATCATTATCATGTGGAAAAAAAAAACAATCTATTATAAGAATTGTCAGAATTTTAATAAATTCTATTTACACACTTTCAATCATTAGGACTATATTAAAATTTCACCAATACATTAATCATGTTGAGTAGATATATGTGACTAGCATGCATCAAATATTGATCATTTGTAAAATTCAATGACAGTTGATAAGGTCTTAACTTGAGTAATGATAAAAAGATCAACTTGATCACTTTTGATATGGCTGGAACACTTTAGATATTAGTTATTGGCAAGCATCAACTGCTGACCAATGAAGAATGTGAGACACACAATATTGAATAGTTATATTGGTCATTATGAGATGAGCGTCATGCTTCAATTATTAAAACACATTTGAAATTAGTTGTTGCTGAGGGTTAAATAAATTTTATAAATAATACCAAATTTCAAGCCTTGATGGATAATCAACCAGGTTGCTCTATTGACAGAAGAGAGATCAGGCAACAGGAAAACAATCATGAATGAACAAATGTTTGACAATAATTATTGACAATTGTCGATATGATAAGAAATGAGAAATTATAGATGTTAGATGATAATAAGTGATTGAATTTTTAATTTCATTTTATAAAGACAGATCAATTATCAAATATTTGTGGTTGGAAAACATTGATTGTTGTGGAGCATTACATGGTTGATGTTAAGAGTTAATGAGAAGCATCAATCCAGTCATTTATTGGTTTAAATTAATATCTATAAAAAACCTTGGATGTTAATTGATGGTAGTTGATATATACTGCTCAAAAAATTTCTACGAATCCAATATTTATTTACATCAAGAAAAATTTCTATGAATTGTAGATTTTAAGAATGAACATTCTGATTATCTGTCATAATCCTAGATAGTCCATTTAAATTCTAAGTATGTCTTACTTGATTATACCACTTTACTTGAACATCTCGACGCATTAATGCACTTGACCATAATCGAACAAAATCAGACTTGCCATTTCCTTCTCATCGATACATTCATTTTTATTATAAATACCTAAGATTTGGAGGACATCTGATTCCCAAAAGACATTTAGAAATTTATAGTTTCAGCTTCTAAATGTTTTATCTAAGTTATTTCGAATTATTCCATATATTTTTGATAAGTTGGCATCATTTCCTCAAATCTTACCCTCTCAACTATTAATTTGGTAGAACAAAAGCTTGGATGATCTATTCCAATTCATAAAATATTTGACCCAAATACTCAAGTATTTTGATAAAAATTATATCAAATATGCTTTCAATCAAATGAGTATTTTAGTAGTGCATTGACCATTATTTTATCATATTGCATTAAAAATTATCTTTGAATGTGATGAATATATATTTATAAGTCCAAAGAAGCATGCCATAGTTAAAAAAATTGAAGTAGATTTAGCTTAGATATTTTGACCAAATTTTATTATCCTCTCTATATATACAAAATGAGTATGATTAATAAATTCCATAAATAATATGTCTTCAATCAAGTGGTTGAGGAATGAATGAGCCCAAATACTATCACAAAAATGTTTGTTGTGTGTAATTAAACACATTCAAGTCCTAACTCCTATTAGGAAGAAGAAACGGGTAGTTGTTAATCAGTCCCACCAAACTGCCAGCAAGAGAATCATATGCCCAAATCCTCCACGCATCTCGCCTTCTCCACTACTTCTCCCCTGAAGAAGAACAAGCTATAAGGGCCATATATGATTCGTTCAGAAGAAGAAGAAAAGCGATTGTTTTTTTTAATGGTGGGGTTTGTCTATAATGCATTATTTCATTGATGGCAAGGAAGGGTACACAAAGTTGGAATTTTGAAGGAGAAAAGAAAGTGACGTCTTTCTTCCGCTTCATCTTTTTTGTCAGGCGTTGAATGGGATCGGATGGTGGTAGTTGTGGGAGGTTGTGCTTCGGCTGCTACTAGTAATGGGAAGAGGGAAGGGAAGTGGGCAGGTGGCACGTGGTCCTCGGTTCTCATTTAAGACCGTTGAGCTTCGGTCTTCCTCTCACTGTTCCCCTCCTTTCTCTTCCGTCCACTGCCTTTGAAATCATCTCCAGCTTGGCTTACGGTCTAGCGATAGTCGCCGGGGAGGGTATTCTGGAGGTTCTTTGATCAAGATTTTTGATTTCTTGCGGAGATCCTCTCTACTCGCTGGGATAGTTTCATGTAAGTTGTGGAATATTTTTCTTATTTTGCTAATTTCTGTGTCTTGTTCGTGGGTATTGGTTTTTGCTGGTGCTTGTTATTCGTTTGTTTTTGGATTTAGGGTTTTGGCGATTTGTGATGATTATTTGTTTTCGGCGTTTTGATGAATTTAGCTCGTGGAAGTTCTTTTAAATCGTTGCAGCTCCTCTAAAACCGAGCTCTTGATTTTTGTTTATTCGAGTAGTTTACAATTGAAATTAATCAGAAAGTTAGTTGCTTTTGATCTCTGCAAGGAAGTAATGAATGCAGTTACTTTATTTAGATCGACAGAACATATATGTAAACAACTGGATCACTGGAAATGAATCAAACGGTTGGTTTTTTTAAGGAAAATAAAAGAATTAAGAGCTTAGATGGATACTCTTTTCTTTGTTCAGGGTTGAATTCATCTTTTATGATTTGATGAAATTATGGAAGGAAGTTTATAATCTCAACTTAGTTGTACCAGCTGTAATTTTTGTAACCTTTTTTTTTTCTTGAGTCAAAAGTGGCCATTTGAAGTTGCCATACGTGTTCCTGTAATCCTTTTTATGGTTTTAGTTGAAAGTAATTATTTTGATCATTGAGCTATAAGCCTATACTATTGGAATATGAAATTCAATGTTAAAAATTGTAAGTTGCTTGAACATTTTGATATGTTCTTCTATATACTTTCATTGCCATTATTCCTAGAGGAAGAGCAGTGAATTATATGTTAAAGTTTATCTGTTTTACATGTTTAAATTGTCTCTTCTCTTCTGCTTCTTTCCTATTTCTGGTTCTTTTCACACAGATAAAATGAAAAAAAAAAAAACCTTTGTACGATGATTATCATTTTGTTCTTAAAACCAATGTAAAAATTAGGCTTACATGATTTCATATATCTTGCTGTTGCAGAAAAGGTCATGGCAGAATATTTGCATTTCAATGGCGTTGTAAATGGGATGAGCCCAATAAAACATGCATCAGTTTCAGCAGAAGTTGAACAATTCTGTTTCGCACTCGGTGGAAAAGCACCCATCCACAGTATATTAGTTGCAAATAATGGAATGGCAGCCGTTAAGTTCATGCGTAGCACTAGAACATGGGCTTATGAAACCTTCGGATCGGAGAAGGCAATTCTACTCGTAGCCATGGCAACTCCAGAGGACCTGAGAATAAATGCAGAACACATTAGGATCGCTGATCAATTCGTTGAAGTCCCAGGCGGAACTAACAACAACAATTATGCCAATGTTCAACTAATCGTTGAGGTCAACTCTTACTTTGGATTCCATGCAATTATTTTTTAAATATAAGAATCTATTTTATATATTTTGAAATTATTTGACAAACACTTACATCTTTTAGCTCTTCAGATGGCGGAGATAACACATGTTTCTGCTGTTTGGCCTGGTTGGGGTCATGCATCTGAAATCCCGGAGCTTCCGGATGCTCTGGCTGCGAAGGGAATCATATTTCTCGGGCCTCCAGCAGCAGCTATGTCGGCATTAGGTGATAAGATAGGATCTTCGCTGATCGCTCAAGCCGCAGGAGTGCCTACTCTACCTTGGAGCGGGTCAAAACTAGTTCCCCCCCACAGTATAATAT